AATATTTTACCATTCACACAACTTCAGTAAATACAAATCCTTAAATTACTACTCTGCACTTCAACTTTGCTGCTTAAACTGCCTTACTGAAAGAGCCTGCAGGTGTTCCCACAAAAAATGTGACCATTGAATTGGGGTTTATGTGGCCAACGGAGATGCAAACTGTTCCCAAGGTAACCTGTACTGAGAGTAAATATGGGTGTTGCCATTACTGAAATTCTAAAATGCTAGCTGCCTGGCATTTATGACCTAAATATTTTCGAAATCACTAACTTGAAGAATCTTGCAACAAGTCAGAACTCCTGATCTGCATACTTGTTCTGGGGTCAGCGACTCAAAAAGCACTAAAGCAACTTAACCGGAATGATAGGTAATCAACTAACCTTTTCAGAAGAAATTCGGCAATGACAGCCTCTAATTACAGCCCGTAATTACATCCCACTCCTCCGGGAACAAGTCTACGACGTCGGAGGTGATAGCCACCGCATTTCGGGATTACTACTCATCCCTCTATAACCTCCCTCATCCACCCTCTCCCTCCTCTACCACGCCCTCTCAAGCTCGACAAGCACGCATTGCCGAATATATCGCCAACTCAGCCATGCCCTCTCTTGAACCCTCTGTCAGTTCCCTTTTGGAATCTCCCATTACTCCCACCAAATTGTAATTCGCAATTAAATCCACACAAACGGGCAAAGCCCCCGGCCCGGACGGCTTCTCTATCTCTTACTATAAACAATTCCTTCCTTACCTCTCCCTCCACTTCCTTCGGGCCCTCAACTCCCTCCGCGATGGAGCTGCTATCCCCCCGGAATCACTCCTGGCCTACATTTCGGTGATACCCAAAGAAGGAAAAGATCCCGCCTTATGCCCAAGCTACAGACCCATATCCCTGCTCAATGTGGACACTAAATTATTCGCCAAGATCCTCTATTTTCGCTTGTCCCCCTACTTGGCTGACCTGATTCATCTGGACCAGGTGGGGTTTGTGCCAGCGAGGGAAGCTAGGGACAACACCACCCGAGCTTTGGGGGTCATCCACTCTGCCCTGTCATCTGCCTCCCCCTGCGTCCTACTATCCACCGACGCGGAGAAGGCATTCGACAGGGTCGACTGGGACTTCCTCTCAGCCACGCTGAAGGCGGTGGGCCTGGGTACCCACATGCTAACCTGGATACTCCTGCCCCTCCGCCAGGGTCCGAGTGAACGGAGTGCTATCCCCCCCATTTTCCATAGCCAATGGTACCCGCCAAGGATGCCCTCTCTCCCCCCTTCTCTTCGTCCTTTCCTTAGAACCTTCCTCCGTACTGTCCGCTCTAATCCAGACATACGAGGAGTGCGCATAGGCCCCGTCCAGCACAAGGTGGCAGCTTTTGCGGACGGCCTCTTGTTCTTTCTCGCTTCACCTGACATCTCTCTCCCGGTGCTCTTGGCGGAAATTGAACGATATGGTACCCTCTCAAACTTTCTCGTTAACTCTCACAAATCCATGGCATCTCTCCCTCGCAGGCCCCCGCCTCCGGAGGGTACTCGACAATTTCCCCTTTAAGTGGTCTCCCTCCTCTCTGAAATACCTGGGCATTCTGCTTCCCAAAAACCCCTCTCAAGCCTACTCCGTCAACTCCCCTTCCCTGGTATCAGCCATCAGCTCTGACCTTAAGCAATGGTCCGCTGGGACCTTTTCATGGATGGGACGCTGCAACATTTTGAAGCAATCAATCCTCCCCCGACTTCTGTACCCTCTTCAAGCTCTACCCATCAAGCTACCCTCCGCCTTCTTTAGGTCTCTCAGGTCTTTATTCACTAGCTTTGTATGGGCGGGCAAACCTTCCAGACTCAAATACAACCTTCTGCGCCTGCCTAAAGACTCTGGAGGGATGGGTCTACCAGATGTACATCTTTACTACATTGCCGTCCACTTGACACGAGTACTGGATTGGTGCCGACATTTATCTTCAAAGCTTTGGACTGGCCTAGAGCAATCCTTCTCTCCGGTGCTATTATCAGGTCTACCCTGGTGCTCACCCCCCTTTCCCCGACCATTTGCTCCCACCCCACCATTATGCCTACACTGACGGTGGCCCGGTCTGCCTTCTCTCAGTACTCCCTGCCTCCCGCACCATCCCCTTTGATTCCAGTCCTGAGCCTTTCCCCCCAGGGATAGACGACAAATACCTCCTCCGGCTCGGAGCCGCTAGCGGATCCAGAGCCCTACATTTTCTACACGGCACCTCGTGGCCTGCAACATTTACCTCAGCTCCCGATCCCAACTCTCCACCCCTGGATTCATGGCGTACCATGCAACTGCTCCACTTCTTGAACTCTCTTCCCTCCCCTACTCGACTCTCCAGAACGATGTCCCCTTATGAGTCGGAATGTACTCGAGAAGGCCCAGCACGCCACGCCCTGTCCTTCTGCTACAAATTGCTGCTCTCCGGCTGCACCCCCGACAGTCTGTGGTTCCTCACAAGGTGGGAGGAGGATTTGGGGATCCAGTTCACCCCGAGAGAGCGCACAAAACTTCTTGCGCTGTCCTACCAATCTTCCATCAGCAATAGGTATCAGGAGACGGGATACAAATTGGTAACCAGGTGGTACAGGACCCCTCACTCGCTACACTCCATGTATCCCCAGACCCCGGATGTTTGCTGGCGCTGTGGCGCCCCCTCAGCAGACATTCTCCACATCTTCTGTTCATGCCCATCACTCAAAGCTTTCTGGGACCAAGTGTGTACCACTATCCAAAAGTTCACCGATCTCCCAGTGCCTCGAGACCCGCATCATGCCTTCTTCCTCCTGCATCATAATGACATCCCGGCCAAGACCTACAAACGATCCGTCGTGCGCCATCTGGTTAACGCGGCCCGAGCGTATATCCCAGCACGATGGAAAAACACAGAACCACCCACCATATCGCAATGGCTCGACAGGATACATGATATATACCTCATGGAAGACCTTACCAGCTCACTACACAATACCTCCAACAAGTTCGGCAGGACCGGTTCTACTGGACTGAGTTCCTTCACTCTCCAGCATATGAGACATAACTCGCCCGCCCGAACGCCTCTTCTGGTCCCACCCCTCTTACCTACCATGTGCAACCTTCTCTCCTTGTACCCCCTCTAGACTTTATTCATACCTCCCCTTTTCCACCCCCCTATTCTCTTCTCCTCCTTACCCCTTGCTAAGCCCCGTTGCGGGCCCCTGCTTCTTTAGTGTCGTGACCTCGCCCCCATAGAAGGTCTCGAGTCCCCCGTTCCTATACGGGTAACTACCTAGGACCCCTACCTACTACGGAGACCGACTGCAGTTGTCTCGCATATCCACCCCCCATTACATAATCTGGGTTAGGTTCTCGACACATGCTTTACCCTATGCTGCGTAGTTCTTTCTGCCCGCTGTTGTTTCCCCCATCTGTCCATACTTGATGTATAGGTTGACTTATTGACGGCAGGTATGTACTGCATATTTGGACATCCCTGTTTTGTAAACGAAAAATACCTCTTTAAATAAAGAATTTATTAAAAAAAAAAATGTTTTAAAAAGGAAAAAAAAAATACGAAGTTACGACGAGTAAATAGATACCCAACATGCCCAGGTAAAAAAAAATGCATGCGTCCGTGAAACGGCAACAAAATGCAGTACTCCAAAGAGTCCCTATATTTCATCAATTTAGAGATACACGTAAATATGGGACCTAGAATTATTGCTCTCTCTGGTGTGTGCGGTGATACCAAACATGTGTAGCGCGATAGACTTTTCCGCACGTATGGGCACCCGACGTGTGTTTGCGCAAATGCACGCACGGTCAAGGGGGCTTTAAAAAAACGTTTTAAAATTATTTTTACATTTTATTCTATATTATTATTATAATTTTTTTTAAACTTTAATTGCTATCACAAAGGGGGGCAACTGTAATAGGGCCTCTTTAAGGTTATACTGGGGGTCCAAAAGACCCCTACTATCACCTTTCCACTTTAAATAAGCTATTGAATTGCAGATCGCACTTTCAATAGCTTATTGCTGGGCTTCAGTAGCCGAGCAATGACAGCTCGGGGGACCAGAATTGCTGCAATCCGCATTGCTCCCGGTCCCATAGATCGGGGAGGAGATCGGTGAACGGAAGTTCGCCGCTCTTCTCCCCAGCTTCCCACCAGCACCTGACATGCCAGTCCCGGGCCCGCAGGTGGGGCAGCGGAGCCCAGGAAACACGGCAGGGGAATGGGCACTTTACCGGCCCATAGAAGCAATCCGGCGATAGCTGAGCCGCTAGAACCACTTCTGTTGTAAAGCCGGCTTTACAAAGGTAAACAGTCCCGCCGGGAGTCTGTTTACAAGGCCGTGCTGCCAATGCCGTACTAGGTACACTCATGGCCGCGGGAGGGTTAACATGCACTGCCATATTTTTTTCAGATTCTAAGTGATTTTTAAATAAATGCACTGAAAAGTTGCTAAAATAACAGGTTTTAGGGCAGGTCAAGTTCGCTTTGAGATTTTAAAATGAACTCGAGGCCAGGATATGGACTGACTTGCTGCGCCCCAACCACTGGAAGCAATCCACACTTTTGGCTGTCAAATACCTTCTCCCCCCACCGTACACTGCTCCCTACACTGGCTCATATGTCATGTAGTGGCGTATGAGCTGGTAAGATGAACAATATGCGGTTAGAGAAGGAGCCAGGGAGCAGCAAATAGGCGGGGAAACTTTAAAGCAAGGCCTTACTGTCCTGCATAGCTGCAGGCAATGTGGAGCTATTCATCCTTTCCTAAGCAGTTCAGCTTTTCTTGCACACAATCCCCCCCCATGCATAAATGTTGTGACTTACTTGCTTCAGACTGGCTGCAGCTATATACATAGTTTAGGTTGGTAAAAATATATTGAAGCCATTATGAAAGTCTATAGCCTGGCCACACATTTTTAATATAGTACGAATGACATCCATCCAAAATGCTGTTTCAGAAATTAAAGAAAAAAGTTAAAACTGTATTAAACTTACAGCAAGTTTCTCTGCAATAGCTGCCTTTTGTTTATCGGTCAGATCCTCTCGTTCAAGGATGATATCATGCAGTTGGTTTACAAGCTGTGTTGCTGCGTGGCCATTATTTATCAAACCCTGTGGGAGGAATATATTCAAAATTCCAGTTAAAAATATTACTTTGCGATTTTAGGACCATTTTTCCAAACACTCCAGGACACTAATCAAGCCAATAATGTTAAAGGTATTCTTACCAAAACCACGGTTTCTAGTTTCTCAAATAATCCACTCTGACAAGCAGCCAGTACTGAATTCAGTGTATCTTTAGAGATCACCTGTTGAAAAAAAAAATAATTCTGCTCAACTCTAAATACATGCAAATGTGTGGTACAAAAGAAAAAAGTTATTAAACATAATCACAAGATGAATGGAACACCAGCCATGTTTTTTATGTTTGAATAGAATGGGAACTGTTCAGACGCGCTGCAAGGTTTTTACAGCGTTCTGTGTCCCAATAAGGGAGAGTTTCCACCACATGCTGTCCCAGAGACAAGAAGTAGACAGATACACAGCAATAAAAACATTACAGGGGGTCTAACAAAACTGATTAATTAAAAGAAAATAAGATTTTTATACTCACTGTAAAATTGTTTTCTTGAAACCCATTGTAGGGCACATGAATTCAGATACTGTCAGGTTAAAGTGCAGCCTACAGGAGAACCACAACACCGGCAAACAATAACCATTGCGAACCGGTCCAGGATTACCCCACCTACTCCCAAGCATGCCTCAGTTTTGTGGTAAAGCAGTTCCAAGGGCAAGATCATAGACAGGTGGGACCTGTGGCCCTTGAGCACAAAACTTCTATTTCCTTTCTAGCTTTTAGGGATTCAGATACTGTAGGTGTCCAAATGCAGATGGGGGAGGGGTGGGGGGATTGTGCAAAGCCTCTAACAAGTCCCACAAACAGGACTGGGGACTGCCACTAGAAGGATCAACACCTGAAACTGAACGCAGATGAGGTTGAACACAGGTGAGGTAGAACCCCTTTCTAGATACTGAACTCTGTGAACACAACCAAGGGGAGGATACAGAGGTTCCCACAAAAGAGTAAGGACTCCATACACAAGGGAGCAACAAACCTTATCCAGCATAAAGCTGAGCAACCAGAACCTACCCAAACAGGTCAAACAATAACGAAAAAGCTGAGAAGAAACCTTGGACTAAGAAGTTCCTAATTCCCCCTTTCCCCAACAAAACGTCAACAGCCATGTAGCAAGGAGCAGGCACCATTGTACAACCGCCAAGAACATGTACCCGATTAGGGGCAGAACCAGGGAAGGTGTCCGGAGGGCCTTTCTTAAGAGGCTGTGAGTCCCTACAAAAAGAGGACCTCTTGCTAGGCGAACAGATCCCATGAGGTCCTACAGGCATATGTTATCCACAGCAGTGGATATCTGTAGCAGAAAACAAATTTGCTCCCTTTGCTGGCAATTCACAGTCACATGGCTCCCCAACTATGATTCCAACTGCAACGTAGGATCTCAAGTGAACCTAGGTGCACAAACCTCTCTCAGTGCAGAGGCTACTAGTTGAGAAAGGCCAGTTTACAAAGCTTTGCCCTTAGGGAAAACAGTATGGTGTAGACATACTCTAAAACAAGGTGCATAGGGAACAGAGCGATCTGTTCTTAGCAACCAGATGGAAACAAGGGGAATAAACTACCTCAGCCTCCTAAAGAGGCTGATGGATCATGCTGGGGGACCACATGGTCCATAGAGACAGACCCAGAGGGAGGGCTTAAGATGAACCCTAGGCCTACTGGAGACAAGTAGGAGACAACAATGGAACGCACTGAAGCAGCAGAATCTTGCAGATGCTAGGCAATTCGGGAAGGTGCTGACTACAAGGATACATAAACATAACTTATCACCAGAGGCAAGTGAGCATTTCACAATGGGGATGCCAGAAAAAACAAATAAAGAAATGCCAATGCTCCTAGACATAGCAGGAGAGCTCAAGCTACCGATATTCCCACTATGTCATATTCCTCTCTTTGTAGTACGAGACCTAATTTGTTCGCCTGGCTTCTAGCATTTGTGAACATGCATTTCAAGTTTTTACTTGTGCATACAATGTTATTGTTTCCCCCAGCTTGGCTACTGCTGTGTTCACCCAAATCTTGTGCATTTAATTTTAGTAGTAAAGATTCCCTGTTCTCTGATGAGGTCACCACCATTTCTTCTAATCCCCCCATAACTATATTGGTTATCGAGTCTAATCTCATTTTGTTGCCTGGCTTATTATTCTTTAATCTCTCCCCCGGGAATTTAGTTTAAAAGACCCTCTAATCTTTTTATTATCTTCTCCACCAGCAGAGATGCACCCTTCCCATTTAGGTGCAGTCCAACCCTGCTGTAAAGCCAGTAGCCGACTGAGAAGCCAGCTCAGTTCTCTAAAAACCCAAACCCCTCCTTTCTACAACAGTTTCACAGCCACTTGTTTAGCTCTCTAAGTTCTCGCTGCCTCTCTGGGGAGGCTCGCGGTACAGGAAGTATTTACGAAAATACCTTGGAGCTTCTTTTTCTTTAATGTCTCACCTAAGTCCCCGGCAAATCAGTATGATTTGTGATTTGCTAAGCGATATTTGACCTGTGCGGGAGTCCGCATTGAAGGTGAGCGGCTCACTGTGAGGGGTGGACACTGCTGTAGAAGACCAGGAGTGGAAGAAGATTTAGTCACATTTGAAACATTAAACACATAGACCCCATTCACACCAGGGCGACAGGGTTTCAGCGCTTTTTTTCGTGCATTTTTTTAGCACGTTTTACAGGAATTTTCTGTTCATATGAAAGAGCGTTCTAAGGCTCGTTTTCTAGTTGTCCGCTGAAAGTCTTGGCTGCAAAAAAACGTGAAAAAGCACAAAAATGCGCTGATCAGGGCATATCCATTTAATGGAGCAAAACGAGCTGAAAAGCACCACGAAAGAAGCTCATTAATTATTTTGAACAACGGGCTTATTTATACGTGCGATTCAGCAGTTTTGCGTGAACGGCCCCATAGGAATAAATGGGATTTTGATTTGCCTGCGTTTCAGCGTGGAAAAAAAAACACGCGACAAAACAACCTGTGTGAACAGGGCCTTAGGGAATGGACACTTCTTGTCATATACTTTATAGCTGTATATGGTTTTTTTCAAATTCTGTGCTTATTTTTTATACACATTTACTCAAGTCATATTGATTGTATGCACGTTGTTTTAGTGTGACACTCATGTTTATTTTATATTTTTTAGTAAAAGTGGCACAAATATATATATATAATATATATATATTATTGTGTATTGCCATATTAAAGGAAGTTGAAAAATAATGGCTTTACTAGCAGGGTCAACAGGTAATAAAACAAAGTTTCCAGGGAACATAGAAAAACAAAACTGCGGTGTTAAAGAAGTTGTCTCACATCTCCACCCTCCTCCAATCACGGAATGCCTTGTATTCTTTGAGAAGACGACAAGGCATTTTGTGAATTGCCAAGTAGCAAGGAGGGGTGGGGAAGTGACTGGAGCACTTCAGTTGCATCTCTTGCTTCCAACAGTGCCCAAAGGCCAAGAATAATTGTAGGACCTGGCATGCTGCAAGGTATGATTATTGTATTTTGCAGCAGCCCCCCACACATTACATTTACCCTTGCAATACAGGAGGAGCCCCACTGCAAGGGGATTTTTTTGTGTTCCTGGCATATAGGCTTTACATTTACAGTTGTCAGCAATACAAAAGGTCAGGATAAATCTTCCAATGGGATCACCTGTTCCAGTGATCAGTCTTAGAGTGGAATAACCCTCACTTTGTAGGGATGTTCTCTCACTTCTGGTTTCATCTTTGGGACAGGAAGTGAAGGAAGATCTCCCTAACAGGCCACGGACAGCAGAAAATAACCTAAAAGGGGTTTAACTAGGGATACCGAGAATTTGCATTTACATTACTTGCCGCCCGGCTTCTTAGATTGCCCGGGAAGCCGGCTCCATGCTAGCGGAAGTGCCAGTATCAGTACTCAGTGCGTACCGAAATATAAAGATTGGTACTAGAAAAACTAGTATTGGTGCATCCCTAGTTTTAACCCTTGCATACTTTATCCAAAATCAATTACATAAACCATTTGGGATTTGTTTAGAGGTTCTCTCACTTGTAGACTTGCAGTGAAGTGAAAAATAAATATTATAGGAAAATTGTGAATTATGGTTCAAAAAAAGGGCATAAATAATCATCTAATTTCATATAGTACTTCTTACCCCGGCTATTTCCGTCACCACAACATCTGTAATCTCTTTTCCTGCAGTAAGCCTCTTTGCACTTTGCAGAAAAGTGATGGCTTTTTTTCAAGTCTCCTTCTGACACTTCCACCAGACGGGATAATGCCTGGAAACAAATACAGCATAACCCATGATCAAGTAACACAGGTGGTCTAGAAATGCAATCTGCTCACAAATAAAGCAAAAAGTCACCTCCATCTGGAAAAATATTTAGCACAAAACGAATCCAACATTTCGGTCTTTTGTTACACATCCTGGCAATGTGAACATCTAATGTGCCATCTTGTCCCCATAAACTAAGTAAAAAGGACACCTTCTGTAGCCATATAATATGCAAGTGCTATTGTAATTACACTAGTGTATTGACTAGTTTATATGTGGTCAATACTTCAATTGTCTTAACTTTGGATGTGAGGCATTCCCATTTTCTATGGTGTTAAACCTAACGCATCAAACAAAGATGTATTTTACTAATTGGAAGCTTGCCCTCTTCCAGTAAGAAAACAGATTGTTGTATTTCACCAGGTATGAACATGGCTGTCAACTCCATTATTGATTACTGGAAGCTACTCCTTGTTTACATAGGAGTAGAATCATCCCTATGTATCAGACTGAACAAATAACTTAAAACAAGTTATTTTTAATTATTACCTCATTTGTAATTTTCACATTTTCCTTCGTGCAAATATCCAGAATTCTTTGCGTTTGTATTTTATCAGCAAGTGGTTTAAAACGAAACTTGGAGCATCGAGATGTAAGAGGCTCAATTATTCTATATGAAAAAGAATGGATATATCAAGGCAAGATAGTTCCAACATCAAAAACATGCAGTCTCAAGTATTTACAGTCTAGAGCACTGAAGCACTGCCCCTTACATTACAAAAACAAGCAACAAAGAGAAGGGAAACTACCATGGAATACAGTAAGGCCCCGCTCCCACTGCGCGATATGCAAATGCAAATCGCGAGATTTGCCGCGCGATATCGCGTTCAAGCTTGCATTGAGCATGCTTGAATTGCGGCTAAATCCGCTCCAAAAAGGGTCCTGCTGTAGCGACACACGACCCGCGACAGCAGGACCCTTTGCCCCATGGAAATGCATTGGAGCGCGATATCGCGCTGTAATTTGCTGCGATATCGCGGGACTTACCACGCGATAAATCGCTCAATGTGAACGGGGCTTAAGGCACACATTAACCAGTTGACATCCGCGGTGTTAACCCCCCCTCCCATCCAGGCCATTTTTCAGTATTCAGCGCTATTACTGTATGGGCTGAAGCAATGAGTTGGAGGAACCCAGGGAGACTGGTGAAGGTGCACTGTCCTGTGAAGAAGCACAGGGGAGATAAGGAGCAACTAAAGGTGGCACAAAAGGTGAAGGATTAGCCTGCGGGCTTAAAGAGGGAGCTCTCTAAACCTGAATGCTGGAGAGGCAAACTACCCAAAGACCCACACTTATGAAAGTAAGGGCACACCTTCATGTGGAAGGCAATTCAGAGTGGTGAGATGACCTTTGAATTCGAGCCCTACAGGCTGTGTGGGAGTCATGTTCCACTGCAGAAGTAGATGAAAGAGAAAGGTGGGATTCAGCCTAGGGCTGCAGCAAATGATTATTTTCATAATCGATTAGTTAGCCGATTATTAATTGGATTAAGAAAAAAATGTAAAATAATATACACAAATGCAGTGTTACAGACAAGTTTACTTCAGAATAAAACAGCATGCACATTTTTTTAAATCGCATTGCACTAGAACGCAGGGCACAATCCAGTGCGGGCAATCACACTGCGGACAGGAGGTGCATTTGGGATCCATTGAAATGAATGGCACTAGGGCTGCAACAACTAATCGACATAATCAATTATTGAAAAAGTTGTTCTTTTTCAACTTTTTCAATCATCGATTTATCGGCCTCTGATTAGTTGGCCCTGTTCACGGCTCCACACAAGCTGCGCGCCGCACCTCCTCCCCACCTCACGCTCGCACCTCCTGTCCGAAGTAAGGAGAAGCAGGTGTGGGGGGGATGACAGCCACCGATAGACAGGCCCGATCTCAGAAGCAGGTTACTGGAAGACTGCTCAGATAAGCCTGCACTTTCCCCACACATGGTGCTCTATAACGTATTGCTGGGATTTGGTGTACTCCTCTATAGCTGGGGGAATTCCGCATTGCGCTGTATAATGTATTATTGCTGGGATTTGGTGTACTCCTCTATAGCTGGGGGAATTCCGCATTGCGCTGTATAATGTATTATTGCTGGGATTTGTATTCCTCTATAGCTGATGGTATAATATACAGCACAATGTACCATCAGCTATAGAGGAATACAAATCCCAGCAATAATACATTATACAGCGCAATGCGGAATTCCACCAGCTATAGAGGAGTACAACAAATCACAGCAATACTATATTATACAGTGGTGCAATGCCGAATACCACTAGCTATAGAGGACTACAAAACCTAGCAATAGTACATTATAAAGCGCAATGCAGAATACCGCCAGCTATAATGTACTATTGCTGGGATTTGTTGTATTTCTCTATAGCCGGTGCCATTCTGCATTCATTGCTGTATAATTTTACACTTTTCATTTCACTATATTGCACTACACTCATTTTTCTTTTTTACTTCCACGCTCCAAGCTTGCTCCTGTGATGGACTACAATCTCAATACAAACTAGTAGTCCCATCACTGGAGCCATTTTTTAAAATGTGTTTTATTTTTTATCCGATTAATCGAACTTAATAATCGGCTAACTAATCGATTTTGAAAATAATCGTTAGCTGCAGCTCTAAATAGCACCGCAACGCACCTCCTGCAGCAAAATTTGTCAGGCCGAAAATGACTTTTCCATCCTTCTATATATATAATTTATTTATTATCATTGTATGCATTATATTCGACATTTGAATTAGTTTCATGGAGTTATAAAAATGTGAATTGTAAAACCCTAAGCCAATATAATAAAATAACCAACCTTTTAGTTAAAATAACACCCACATTTTTATTTTTAATTTGTTTAACTTTATTTTCTTTCATTTGTTTGCATTTTTTATTTAACTTTTTTATTTTTTAGTCTTTTAAAGTTTAGGTTTTTTTTTTACTTTTCTTTTTACTCTATTGCTGGAAGCAATAGCCAGCCTGCTATTGGATATTTCAAATTGCAGTGTGTGGGCCCACAGGTCGTCAGTGTCAGCAACATCTTGTAGCAGTAGAAACATGGTAGATTGTACAGTGAACTCAAAGTATTGCATGTCTTAAGGTGCCCACACACCTTTATAATAACGATAATCGCAGGAAATCCCGCGATCGTACGGTAATCGCAAGGTGTAGGGAAGGCGTGCGACCTTACAGTAGCAGACTTTTGTCTTACAAGCATGTGCAAAAACCCGCCGAGCAGGAATCAGGCAAGTGCAACAGCTTTTACATGTCACCTAGGCAGAAACAAGAAATGAATACCAGCAGTGTGGGGGTAGCCGCACTGGAAAGGAAAACTTTTATTTTCCCCTGGAGTTGGGCTTTAAGCAAACTTCAAACCCTTCAAGTGACTTTCCCACCAAAATGGGTATCCCAGCATACTGAAATGGACAGAAATATATCAAATGTTTGTGTTTTTACCATTCTTTCTCTGTGATAATTTACAAATATGTATAAAATCAGCATATGCATCCTTGAAAGTGTGGACTTTGCTCCAAGAAGCATGTTAGAAGGTTACAACACCTATAAATGCAGTATCTCTATGATATTACACTGTACATTTATACTTTGGGAAATTGATTCCATCTTTTTGAAATAGACAGTCTCTTTTTATTGTAATATTTTTGAAGAATAAAAGTAGATTATGTTTTTATGCCAGAAAACGCCCCTCTACATATATACCATTTTGTTTAAAGATTTAGGGGTGTGACATACAGCAATATTAGCTTTTCTCCCTGAACCCCATCTAGCATGTCTTAGTAGACGTATTAATCATATTAAAACGTTAACTATTAACGTATTAAAACATCATCAAAGAATGACACTCTAAGCAAGAAAAAGTCTGAGTATCATACCAGCAATCTGTTGTAGGGTACATTTTACAATAACTCAAAACCAGTAGTCACTGAAAAATACTTCTTTATAGATTAAGATAAAGGTTTCATTATAGTGTATTTATTGCCCACATTTGTTTAGTTTTGGTCAGAGAAATCTTCCATTTAAATAGAAAAATGCATTTTAACTTCTCTGTTGCCTAACAGGGACTTTTTTTCACTTCTGCCAGGTGTCCTGTCAGGCTGTCCCCAGGACAGTGAGTAAGTGGAAATCCAACTCACCTACACCGAAAGTAAGACCTGGCACTCTTTTTTTCCAGATTCCTGTAATATAAGACCTACCCTGAAAATAAGACCTAGTTTGCTGGTAGCATGTGAGGGGGAACTTGAAGAGCAGGAGTGATGGTCTCAGCCTGCAGGGACATACTGTAATAAGGGGATGACAGGGGACTCCCTCCGGCCAGCGCAGTGACAGGGAGCACTCCAGTACCATACTTCACCAACTGCTGTCCTCCCTTTCTAGTGATTGACAGCAGCAGAGGGCGGGTGCAATAGCTAGTTTGCTATTGGCTATTGCAAAGTGAATAGCCAATAGAAATCTAGCTATGCATTCCTATGGTGTTTTCTATTTTATTTTATTCTGATGGCGTACATAACGCAGTTATATCCACAGTCTCACAATCTGCTCAGCTAAGCCTGCATTCCCCCCACATGGTGCTGCATTAATGTATTGCTGGGGTAGTGGGATTTGGAGTCCTCTATAGCCAGGGCTTGAAAAATCAACTCGTCCACTCGTCTGTGACGAGAGGACGGTGGAGCCCAACAAGCAGCTTCCCGGCCGGCCGTTATAATTCTTCAGGCTTCTTCAGGAAAATACGGAGGTGCCTATAATAACCATAAGGATCTAGTAATCAATACATCAATATTTTTACATTTCCAAAATATTGTATATTTAAAATTAAGGTTCCACATTACATGAAAAGATCAATCATAGATAAA